AGTATTCATTCAATGACGATTAAATTTAACAAGCCAATGTGCCCGTTTGGGGCCACGAAGTCAGCTCCCAGTTACAGACTTGCTGTAACAGGGGAAGCTTAAGGGAAAGCCACTGGACCTGTGATGCAGTGGTGGCAAAAAGCGTTGCCAGCTTTGAGGACTCTCTGAGAGCTGCTTGCAGTTGGTGGGCCTGTCAGCATCTGCAGCAGGGTGTTACTGGTGGCTGAAGAGCAGCTTCAGGGGCAGTCTGTGCCCTGCAGAGGTTCCTGGAGAGCAGCAGGATAAAGCTATGCAAGGAAAAAGCTGAACAGAGCCCAGATGTAGCACATATATCTCAGTTAATGCTACACAGGGTAAATGTGTCTGAGAAAAGGCACATAAAAACAAGTACATTTTCTATAAATCTTGGTTAAAATACTGGTTTGTTTTTAATATTTTTTCTTCTGGAGACTCTGGTCTATCAGGCTCTCCTGTTCCTGTTATAAAACCTGATGACAAACTAGGCAGTGGCTAGATTTAACATCCCGACTGACCTTATCTAACTGACCTTGCACCAAAGCAGCACAGTGTGCTGCCAAATTTTCCAATGCTCTTCAGTACCTGAAGTCTCGGGAGCAACATTTCCAAAATCATTTTGCATCTGCTGACCTGAGTGCACTGACCAAAGCACCAGGCAGTTGGGGGGGCATTAAACCACACTGGAGAAGGGGGAGCTCAGGGTGCAAAGCTTTGCTTGGAGAGCGCAAAGGTGCTGGGCTTGCCTGGCTGATGTAGAGTGCTGACAGCATCAAGGGATTTGTTTCTGAAATAAATCTGGCCTCCAAATTCAACCCCAAATGAGTATTTGACCAAAATCCTGCCATGCCATGGAAGCCTGAAGATAGTTTGAGTGATCCAAACTGCTGCATTTCTGAGGAGGTACGCTTCAGTTTGAGGCAGAGCTCTGTTCAACAGTTAAAAATAAAGAGGAGAAAGTTAGAAACGTATCTGGTGGCTCTGCACAAGTTTTCTGTTGTCACTTGTTATGCAAGCAAAAAATGGTTTCAATGCAAAATGACACTGGCTTTTCAATCATTAATGGCACAATCAACTAAAATACATAATCTGTTGCAGTGAATACAGTGTTTGTAAACACATGCAATTAAAGTGGAATAAGATTCAATTATAATGGGTTATGTGTGCATAATAATGCGGATCATGCAATTCTTATTAGTTGGGCTGTACCCTGAGCTCAGTTCAGGAGGAAATTATATTGAAACGCTCTATAATGAAGAGGAAATTTTAATGAGAAGACAAGGTTGAAAAAATATTACTCAAAGCAAGAGGAATGAAAGTGTCTGGAGGCAGAATACAAATGACTAATGCCGAGGCATTTGACTACATCTCCAGCTTTGTACAGAGATTAGAAATCCACACTCGGCAGCTGCCAGGAGCCGGGCAGGCAGAAGTCGCCCCATCGGTTGCAGGGTCCGTGCCCTCCCTCCAGGTACGCTCTCTGCAAACTCTGCTCGTTTCAAGGAGTTTCAGTAAAATAAGTGAAAGAAGAATTTAGCTCTCAGTGCTACAAGAGTGCCTGTCTTCTCCTGGGCTGCTGCTTTTTGGGTTGGGACAACCAGTACTCACAAAGAGGTTCAATTTCATTTCTTTCCATGTTTTTTTTCAGATAGTACATTGTTAAATGCTTAGATGCTATGTTAGACGCTAGGTACCTACCCAATCCTTCCCTTTCTTTAATCACCTGTGGAAGTTGATTTACTTCACGTGAATTGCTCTAATTAACCATCATGAGGAGAGGGGAGGACCGGACTACATTTTCTAACGCATAGAAAATCACTAGTGAAAGAGAACCTAGGTGGTACTGAACCCGAGAGCTGATCTCAGCTAAAACACGCAGCCCTTGTCTACTGCTGGAAACAGATAGCTCCCAAACTACTTTACAAAACCGACTTATAATGGGTACATGTGTATAACAATGCACACCCTGCTACTCTGATTAGTACAAGGCTTTGACTTGACTTAATCAATATTTGAGAGGTGAAAGCAATGCAGAGTATGAAGTAAAACAAAATAAATGAGAAAAACAGGATGCTGTGTTGCATTAGCTACACAATCCCTACGAGGCTGCAATCCTGAAGAATAACGTGTATCAACTTGGACAAGGCATTACGGATCTCTGCCCTGAGCTTGTTGCTGTTGGCACTGAGCAGCTGCACTTAAGAACATAAAGATGCATTTCTGCAGAGCGCTAACAAGTGACTGCAAGTGGGAGAGATTAAGCTGGAAACTTTACATGTGCATACCAGGGGAGGAAACCTGTGTGCACGCGTCTGGTCTCACAGTACCACCAAGCATAAAAGCTCTCGGACAATCAATGAAAATTAAAAAAAAAAAAAAAAAAAGACTCAGAGACCTGAATCCAGACAGTTCTGAACAAATGCTCACTAGAGGAAATTTGAAATAATGTGAGGAAATGATACTGTCACCGCAGCTCACAGCGAACAATAGCCTCGTACATATTCATACAGCCAGTGCTGTCGTGTAACCCCCAGCTAGGGACCTGTGCCTTGCCCACCAAAAGCAGCAGGACACACGGTGATCTTCTGGCCCTCCTGGGGCATGGTGCGAGCATCCCCATTGCACATCTGCTTTTTCTTCACTTTAAGTTTAAGCATTGCAAACTACGAGGCTTCCCCTGTCAGGAAACGTTTATGGCTATCACACTGTACATCCCCTTCCTTGCTTCTGACTTCTTGTACTTTCCTTTACACCCTTCCAAGCTACTGAATTCTTCCCTGTCTTTGGTGTTTACATCGTTCAGCTCTAGCCTGCAATGTCTCTCCAAAGCCATTTTTCTCAGAGTGACAGTACATTACAAATTCAGTCCTTCCAGTACTGATTTAGCTCCTTTAATCTTTCCTTACAAATGAATCTCTCCATCCCCTTGATAATTTTTGTTGCTCTTCTCTGAACTCCCTGCAATTTTTCACCATCTTCTCACTAACGAGCTCCCCAGGACTGAAGGCAATGTTCCAGGTGCAGCAGCAGCACAGCACCATCGAGGTGGGCTGAACCCAGGCTGCCCCACACCGCTGCCCTCCCCGCCACCCTGCCTCATTTCTGGCTTGGGTCTGATTTGTCCCCATGAGTTTTGAGGGAGAAGATGAAGTTTCACCTACTGTTCTGCTTCAGCTGTATGGCAGACCGATTCTAAAATGCTAGATTTTTTTATTTATTTTTTTAATGAGTAATTCTGGATCTGCATATCTGTCCCGGAGACTGCAGTGTGGAGTCTGAACATCATTTATCCATCATCCCTCATCCGTGTGGAAGTCAAAACCCTGCCTTATGTCAATAACATAGCAAATACGCAAATTGTATAATTGGATGAGTAATTCAGAACTTGTTGTTTAGGAAGGAAGCTGGGATACAAGCGGATTTTCCTATGTCTTCAGACTGGCAATATTCACACCTGCAGAAGTGGGCAGGCAGAATTATGAACCGAAACCTCCTTCCCTCCTGCCTGTGAAAACTGATTGATCTGTTCTGCTCCAGTGAGCAGGAAAACTGGTCAAATTCTCCTGTGCTGTAACCAACCCCAAATTCATTTTATAGTGTCCTTACCCAGCTGCTTCTGTCTCTGGACCTGTTCACATCCTTTGTGGAGGATTTTAGTTCCTCCTAATGTCACCTCATCTGCATGCCTTATTAACATGTTGCCTCCTCCTCCATTTCTACACGAACAGTGAAGACATCAAATTAAAACTTCTTGTAAAGCTGAGCTTTGTGGTTCTTCTATGGACTCCTCATCTTCAGCTCCGTGCTTTGCCACTCTCTCCATAGCCTTCCAGCCTATTTTCAGTCAAGAAGGCAATGCTCATTTCTAAGCTGATTTAAATTAATTTTTCTAGAAAGATTTCATGAGGCACAGTATCAAACGCTCTACTCAGATGCAAATATATTACAGCTCCAGCGTTCCCTTCATCTGTTAATTTTCTGTTTCTATCAAAAAAGCAATCAAGTTTGTCTGGAGAGATTTATTCTTGCTAGACCGACGCTGCCTGAGGCTTCGTGCTGCTGGGGCCAGCTCTCAGGCGTGCCAAACATCCATGACCAGAATTGCCTCCAAGGCAGCTGGGTGTAGGGGCACCTCTAAAAATGGGTGTTTGGGGTCACTGTTATGGTAGTCCTACACCGTGGGCTCAGCTAATTGGGAGTTCTGCCTTTACAGTATCAAGCCCAGGATGGGATCCCCCACGAAGACCTGGGGCACCATTTCCCCAGAGGGTTGGAGCCAGGGCTTGAGGTGCCTCCACCTGCTGAAAGCAACTCCCCGCGTCCTGCAGCAAGGTCACCCCAAGCATCTCAGCAGGCCCTGCAGCAGCGTGCCTTGCTCAGCACCATCTGCAAAGCACCATCCTCCCTGCCAGGGCTCTCTCCGCGGTGGCACAGTGCCTGGCCAGGACGGGGACCTCCTGCCTGCAGCCTGGTGACAGATTTAGGAGCAGCGAGCTGCCTGGCAGCAGCGGCCTGTGTCACAGGGGACTGCAGTCACCCAGGGACCGCTGTGGGGACCCTTTGGGGGGCAGATTGCACCGACTGCCTTTGTATTCCTCACCTTTGCCAAATATCAAAACGATGCTGATTTCTTTATTTTAGAAAGGTAGACTTTTCAGTAGCCTTTGGGGATCATTTGTATCTCTTTCTACACATCTGTATATACTTTAGTCACTCCACATCTTATGTTCACAATTTAGGAGAGAGAATCACGCGGGGTACAGTATTTTCACCACTTCCCCCAATATCCTGGGCTCATCCATATCAGCAGGTTTATCTATAGGCTCATCTTCCCTCATCTTCCCTCATGTGTAGTTCCTCACATGTTGACTAGGAAGAGATATTTTATTGGCTTTTCCTTTTTTCTGAATTGTTCACATTTCTTTCATCCGTCTCATTAAGGATAGATTCTAGCCATCATTAGTTCCACACCCACCCCAATTTACTAATTAATAGACATCCATTCTCTCTTCAACTTTTGCTTGCCTCCCCCCAGTGCTCATGTAATAAGTATCTTTCATATTCCCTTTAAATCCTTTGGCAGCATTAATTCACTCTGAATTTTTTTGCTATCCTTATCCATTCCTTACTGAGCTTTAAATGAATCTGTATTCACGTTTGATTTCCTCCCCACCTTTTCCTATTTTCTGTGCAGGTTTTTTCAGCTCACATCTTTGAGCAGCACCTTTTGAAGTCACTGTGACTGTGGGATATAACAATTATTTCATGCATGCTGATTAGTCAAGCGGATTTATGCACAGACTGCCGTAGAGATTGGAAGGGGCGAATCTGGAAATAGCCCCTTGTGGATTTTGGCTGCAGTGATGGGTCAGGATGGGAAGCACTGCTACCGGCTTCTCCTAAGCTCAGTGTCTTCCTACAAACCAGGCAAGCAGAAGGCAGGTCCCAGCCACAACCCCCAAAGCAAGCCCCAGCCCCAGGAAGTTCAGTGGGGTCCTTCAAAGGATACCTGGCATGCACCCAATGTGTATGCTCACAAAAAGCAATAAATGTCTTTCCCTCAGTAATTAGCTCCTCAAAAAAGTAGTTAATATTTGTATAGCGCTTTGAAGTTGCTAAGTGCTCATTAAGCACACACATTACTTTTGGCATTTTGGGGTCCTTTCAGACTGTGGGGCCGTACACAGTTCTCAGTATTAATGAGTTATGTGACATTGCTTAAAGGAGATGCACTTAGCAGAAAGGATTAGTTGCTCTCTCTCTCTCCACACTGTTTTGACTGAAATTCCAACTGGAATTTGCTGTTTTGGGGGGAAAGGACTATCTAGGTCCACTGTCCCTTAGGGCAGCTGAGAGCCTCTTGTTGGGCTCCTGGTCCAGCTGAAAAGCTTTTCTCCTAACCAGCTAACCAAGTCTGACCCCTTCCAAGCTAACAAGGTCCAGCTGCAAATCCTTCCCCTCACGCAGGTGAAGACTGGCTGGGTTAAGGGGAAAAGGCAAGCTCTTCTCTTCCAGACCAGGTAAACCACTACATTTCTGTTGTCAGATATAAAGTGATATTTTTGAAAATGAAAGGTTTTTTTTGGAAAGAGTCACTAAGGTTTCAGCAGGGACATTGGTGAAGGTACTGTCAGTGATGGGCTATCACCACCCTCTGTAGGTACCAGCTGTGATATATGGAAAGTGAATGGAAGCAGTGTCTGTGTTGGTGTTGTTTATGTTGTTTTCACAGCCTTACCTAAAGCTCCTGGCTAATTCATTATTCTGAGAGCCTAATGCAAGGCAGCAGGTACTACAGTTCCCCTGCCGAGTCTATTTTCAATATTAATTATCTTGCTGCGCATTAAGTAGTTTTTGTTTTTGCGTTAAAAGGTTTATGAAGATTAGATGATTAAAATGATAAAAACTAATTTTCTCAAGCATAGCCACTCTGCAGCAGCCAACTGCAAAGAGAAAAATGCGTGCGTTTAGTTGGCTTGGAAAGATGGCACTATAACTAAGTTATTATATGGGGGGAAGGAAAGAGTGGGGAACACTGTTTTTATCACAAATGTTGTGGCTGCCCTGCTGGCCACACGCTTGTGCTTGTGGTGATGTGGCTGCTGCTCATTTTCATTTCCAATAGAGCAGATTTTTGTCAGAGAAATTAATTTCAATATATGACAACAAGTGACAGGAATGGCTATCACTTGCAAACATACCACATCTGCTGCAAGGCTAAGCTCAGTGTGACAGCAGAGGATATTTTGTCTGCTCTTTGAAGGGGAGGGGGGCTGATGAAACCCAGCTTGTGGCAGGGTCTGGTTTCATGGCATTAAGTTGGGATGCGGTGCAAGTGCCTCTCGCAGGGGCAGCTGTTGCTGGAACATGATCTTATGGCTAAAGGAATCCCTTGTACAAACACGGTTATTATGCCTTGGCTTCCTAGCTGTGAGATGATGAGGAAATCCTGAAGGAGAAGCCACAGCCCTACCTTCTGTGAGACATTATTAGTCTGCTAATGCTGACAGATATCTGGTGTCACGCCGCTGCTCCTTATCCCCAGTGACATCCAGACCCCGCAGAGCTCTCATGGCTTATTACAACATATTGCTAAGCTGCGGGCTGTTTGGCCTCAGCAGGTTTGTTGCTGGGTTTGATTTTTGTCCTGATGGTGAATTCAGAAGCGAGAATCAGTTGGGAAAGGAGACGCCGACCCTTCTCGCTTTGACAGGGCTGCACTTGAAGTGTGATCCAAGTTGCACAGCAGTAGAGGTGGGCGCAGCTATGGGGTAGCTACCTGAGCCATGACCTGCAAGGCTGCTGCCCCAAAGGGCCCATGCTGCAGTTTTCTGCCATATACCACAGTCACCTCTGCTGCGTCCATCACGGCACATGTACGCTGGGTGAGAGAAGGTGGAAATTGATCCAGGGCATTACCAGCAGCACCGTCATCCCCACAGATGGTGCTCCAGACCCTTTCCTGTGGCTTTGGTACAGAGTATGTTTTTCCTTCTTTTCCCCTCGTTATAAACATGGGGACTTATAGGCAGCATAAAACAGTTTGCTATAGCAATTTTTTCTCTGTCAGGTAGAAGAACCAGTACAGCATTTGCTAATGCTAAAGCAGTGGGTATTAAAGTCACTGTTCTCATTAGCAGTGATCACCCCCATTGCATGTCTGAAGATGAAACCAAAAGAGCAAAAGGTGTCTTGTGAGATACAGAGCTGAGAAGCTGAGGACAAGAACTGTTCTGATTGTTTTGCGTGTTGGATGGATCAGTTTTATACAGTCCTGTGATACTTTCTGCATTTTGGGACACTGCTTCAATGACTAGCACTCTAAATATCACTTTTTGTATGAGGTTGTTGTCATTAGTGTTATGAATTGTTATTTGTTGATATCATGAAGTCTTTTCAATGTCTTAGAATTTATTACGAATATTAGAGATGCCAGTGTTTATCCATTTTACACCTTCATTATCTGATCTAACCCAATCATTGCTCCAAATATATCAAATGGTATTATCACTGCTGTCTCATTTCATTGTAATTCCCATTTGTTAGTGCTTTATTTCTAAGAAATAATTTATAAGAAAACATGCCTAAGCATAAATATTATGCACCAGTATTAAGTATGTACAAATCTCAGGTATTTGACAGAAAATGTCTGTGACTTGGGGGTGGTACGGTGTCTGGTTTAGGCCAGTGCTGGCAGACTGGGCTGATTGAGAATACTTAATGTGAGAAAGGCCTCTGAGAAGCCTAAAATACCTGTAGTGCATATTGCAGCATCCTACACATCCACAGTAAAGGTTCCTGCCAGTGCTAAATGTAATCTCTGTCCCCAGAAAATGAGGAGTTTGTCTTATTAACAATGACTGTGTTATTTGACCTCCTTCCCTAGTTCTCCTAAACTGAACTGGTGTGTTGTGCAAGGCTACGGAGCCAGCTGGAGAGAGTGGAAAGGAAGGAAGAAGGGGTAGGGGGGAAGGAAGGCGCAGCTGTCTCTAAGATGGACATAAACATCACCCTGTGGTGGTGGCAACTGTTTGATTTTTATGTTGAGAAGAATTTTTAAGGATCACCTAAATAGAAAGTAAATCCAGGAGAGGAAAGGGGCCAGGAAGACAGCTGTGATACATCTGACATGAGGTGACTCTTGAATAAAGAAACAGCCTGTCCATACTGGCTAGAGAAAGCGCACTTGGAGACTAGGACAACTTGTTGAATATCCTATCTGAGAGAGAGCACTGAAAAAGCTGACCTGAATCCATTTTTAGCAATGCCTGTACTTATAACTGGAAGTGTTTTCCAGCTACGGAGAGCTTGCGCTCGCCTATGAGCAGGTTTTCCTTTGCTGGACTCTGCAGTGTTGGTTCTCAGCCCCTGACGCTTAGAGGAGGGCAGCTTGGCTTGCAGAACAGCCCTTACCCCTGACAGTGTGATGTGGCTCATGGTACGCTGGCCCCAAGTAACACAGAGTTACAGGAGACCTTGCAAGAGCATCTGCTGCAATAAAAGCAGATAATTATCTCTGTGTTTTAGGGAAGATTACAACGAGTCTGAGTTAGTAATCCCAAACACAGCACTTCATCCATGTTAAAGTCTGGAAGGGAAAAGCCCCAGTTTCTCAGTTTGCAAGGTGGTATTAATAAATCAACCCATACAAAAATACTAGAAACAGTGTTTTGGAACAAATGACATGATTAAAACATATTTCATCCAACAAATCAATTATCACACCCACTGATATTTGTTAAGATTCAATTCAATGAAAAATAAAATCTGTGCTTCTGCTATAAATTCTGGCTTGATTCCCGTTGATACTAATCCTCGATCTAGCCAAAATTTGCTGAGGCATTGTCTGACACAGAAAACGGCCTCTGAGCTCTAACATAAAACCTAATTACAGGAGGTCTTGTAAAACAGGGCAAGAGATGATGCTCACAGTGCTAAAGACATGCGTGGTACCCACTCTTTTTCCAGCACCAAAATACCAGGTACCAGAGACACTGCATTAAATGCAGAACATGCACACAGACGCATGCATATGCCAGTATTGAAAAGCATACACTGCCTTCTCTTCTCTTCACTCAAAACCCAAATGCCTGCAGCAATATCAACAAATACTGTAAAAATCAGAAATAATGATCCAATTCCCAATGCAAGAAAGCTGTGGTGTATGCATGTGCACACAGGGGGAAATGCGTGGATTTGGATAAACAGGTAAGAAGTCAAATTTGATTCCATACAAAATCATCTTTTGAAAACCTGTCTATTCACCAGGACCTGGGCAGTGGCGGCCGCTGGGTGAGTCACTGCAGCAATACCCACCTAGGGACAGCATGATATGGTGGGGGCCTTATATCTCTGCTGGCACTAATACCTCCAGCATCAGGATGGATTACCTAGATACTTTTCCCTGCTTAACGCTTGGGAAACTGTACTTTGCTGATAGTTTTGCCCGGAGGCTCTATATCCACTCAAACAGGAAGAGTTTTCTCTGTGAAACCCCAGAGGAATGAAGGTGGCTGGCAAAAGGCAGGTTAACAGCATGGCTCTGAAATAGTTTGGAGGGAAAGTACTGCAAAATGCACTTTTGTGTGGGAACCCATCAAAACTGTAGGTTTACAGCAGTAATGTGCAGGCAATGGGAGCAGTCAGTGGCTGTGTTGAGCAGGTTGCCCCCTGGAAACAAGGGAATGTTTGTTGCTCATTAACGAAGCGGCAGATGAGACGCAGCTTTGCCAAATGTCTGAGCAAAGTTCCTCGTGGAGAGGCAACTAATAGGCTTTCTGGTACATGTTCAAATTTTCCATCACTGGTCAGGGCATGGTGATAAACTGATGGTGTTCATACTATGCTTTTTGATAGCGATCAATGTCTAATTGTCTAATTATGCAAAATGTTAATCTGTTAATGCCTGAAGCTTTAAGCCTTGCCTTCAAGAATCAGCCCCCTGTGCATTACTGCTTTCCTTCTCTGACAGACAAATCACCTGTATCTTTGCTCTTGACCTACCAGGGTTAACTCCTATCATGACAATGCCATTAACTCAGTTTAACCTCTTTTCTCTGGAAGCATGAAAAGCTAAGCTACAGCTGTCGCAGACTCAAAACGTGACGCAGACTGCGCCGCTCGGGCTGATTCCCTCTGCTGCAATCCCTGCAGAAAACAGTCGGCTACGGCTGGATACCCTTGCCCTTTGTGTTCGTTTACACAAGGGCGATGGAGATGCTTTAAAAACGCCCTTTCTGGGGATGAGGAGCGCTGTTATTTCCTCCCACAGTGGGGGAAGGCAGCGCACCCCCTCCTCGCCGCGCCTGCCCATGGCGGTGGCAGAGCAGCACCTAGAGGCCGTGCTGAGGGGCTCGCAGCTGGGTGCTGCGGGAGGGTGGCAGGAGAAAGGGGGTCCCAGCGAGGGCCTGCAAAACTATGGGGCTTGAGGACAGAGTGCAGTTTTCCCAGTGGCACTGAGGATTTGGGGATGAAGGGAGAGAATGGGGTCATGAATGTCATCTGATCCTGTTTTGGTCAA